GGTGAAAGTCAAATTTGCATTAATGAAGTTATTAATTTCATAATCATTAAATATAAACTAAAAGTATTATATTGGAGTTTCACGGGCGGCCCTAGTGATATGAAAAACACTAGTGAAAAATATATTCCACGACTACTGCATATCACCGTGAATAATATCGCGTTTTTCACCACTTCACGTGAAACTCCAATAAGGAAAATTAATTTTTATTATATAATAATTTTCAGGTTCTCTGTTCCCTTCTAACCGGTATGGGTTATGATGCGTATTGTGTCGGGGGTATCGCGCCTAGATGGATAACACGAAGAGTTTTGAAAAAATGCGAATGCCCGACTGAAGATTTACTCCACTTGGAGGAAGTAGGATGAGAAGTTTTAGATTTGAGAATTGAAAAAAAATCCGGAAAAAAACATAAATGTTGAAATAATATATACACATGAATAATAATAAAAATGCCGCTCCCAGGGATGGAACCCGGGACCTAAAAATAACGTTTCGCAGGATTTGATAATAATGAGGGATTTTTTTTTCTAATGTGATGACACTTACATGGGAAACTGACTGTTGAAGAATGTGTTCCTAGACATACGTGGAAAATTGAAAATGAGTTTCACGGGCGGCCGTGATATTAAAATTGGGATTTTTGTGAAACTAGGTGCAAAGAAAAGGAGGAGGAAGTTCAGGGGTAGTTGAAGAAGAAAAAATGATAAAAAAGTGAGACAATATGGATATTTACCGGAATTTTTGGGAAAAAATTGGAAAATTTTCCTTGGTTTTTTTGTACACTACTAAACTAAATTGCATATACGCTTGAGAATATGCGAATGGTGACAATATGAAAATTCTGGGAAATTTTCGTTGATTTCTGTCCCCTTATTCGTGTGTGAAGTTGTATAATTAGACGGGAAACTGACAAAATTTTCAACACTAAATCCAAATTGGAATATATTTTCATTTTCCTCCTAGTGTTGGTGGTTTACATACAAATTCAAATAGAACTATGCGGGAAACAATTGAAATTTTTCGAAGTTTCCTCTCAGAATTCTCATATTGTCGGCAACACATGTAGTTGATCATGTGCCTGGTCCGAATTCGTGGTGACGAGGCTGTGTGGGTCCAACAGTCACTGTCATTCGTTATTGTTATTGTTCTTGTTATTGTCATTGTTATTGTTATCGTTATTGTTATTGTTATTGTCATTAGTATTGTTATTTTTATAATGGAGTTTCACAGCCTGTTTTATATGAAGTGGCGTAAAACTCGGCGAAAACGCGATATTATTCGCGGTGATATGCAGTAGTCGTGAAATATATTTTTCACTAGTGTTTTTCATATCACTAGGGCCGCCCGTGAAACTCCAATATAATAGTTATAAAATCAATAACTCCATTAATACACATTATCATTGAATATTCATATAATAGAGTTTCAACCGTTTTACGCGAAGTGAAATGTGTTTTTTACTAGTGTTTTTCACATTACGGGTGAAACTCCAATAAAGAGTATATATGTAATTCTTTGAGAAAAGGCTCGTACTAAACTCAGGTATGTGGATCTGTTGCTCCCAAGACAACTCGCCACTGAGGAGGAGGGAGAGGACATTTCAGGTGATCGAGTGTTAGTATTACTTCATAATTGGAGTTTCACAACCCTTTATCACTAGTGAAGTGAAATTTGTTTTTTTCACATTTTTTCTCAGAGTCTCTTGAAATGCATCATCGTGGAAGTATTGATGAGAATCGAAATGAATCGGCAGAGTTGGCAGAGAAGACTATTGGTGGGTCCCACGTGTGGTGGTTTTATGGTCGCAAGCAGCAGTGTTGGAGTAGGAATATATGTTCGCTTTTCTCAGCTGAGCTCAGGAGTTTCCTATACAGTGTTGGAGTAGGAATATATGTTCGCTTTCCTCAGCTGCTGAGCTCAGGAGTTTCCTATACAGTGTTGGAGTAGGAATATATGTTCGCTTTTCTCAGCTGAGCTCAGGAGTTTCCTATACAGTGTTGGAGTAGGAATATATGTTCGCTTTTCTCAGCTGAGCTCAGGAGTTTCCTATACAGTGTTGGAGTAGGAATATATGTTCGCTTTTCTCAGCTGAGCTCAGGAGTTTCCTATACAGTGTTGGAGTAGAGATATATGTTCGCTTTCCTCAGCTAATGAGCTCAGGAGTTTCCTATACAGTGTTGGAGTAGAGATATATGTTCGCTTTCCTCAGCTAATGAGCTCAGGAGTTTCCTATACAGTGTTGGAGTAGAGATATATGTTCGCTTTCCTCAGCTAATGAGCTCAGGAGTTTCCTATACAGTGTTGGAGTAGGAATATATGTAATCGCTTTCCTCAGCTAATGAGCTCAGGAGTTTCCTATACAGTGTTGGAGTAGAGATATATGTTCGCTTTCCTCAGCTGAGCTCAGGAGTGTCCAAAGCTAATTATAGAATTAGGGTAGAAGTGTATAGATGCCAATAAAAAGTTCCCGAAAAATTGCTCGAAATTTCAATATTGTCATCAACACATGTAACTGATCATAGTGCTGGAATATATGTTTGTTTTCCTCAGCTGAGCTCAAGAGTTTTTAAAGCTTTTCATAATTTTAGGGTAGAAGTGTACAGAAAACCAATAAGAATTTTCCTCAGAATTTTCGTATTTTCATATGTAGTTGACCATGTGGATATTTTCTCACAGGGAAATTTGATGTGTGATATATTCAAATAATATGTCGGTGGTAGAAAAGGCTATATTCACTAAATAGCAACACCGTCGGAGCTTTGGGGGAAATTTACGCAAACGGTGACACGAAACAGCTATGTCACTCGGTAGGGTTAGGAAGGGAATAGAAAATCTGATCATGAATTTGACTTCTAGTTTGCGGGGTTAATATTGTGAGTTGAGGGCAGATTGAGTGGATGAATTGTGGAAAGTTTGGGTAGTTGTTGTTTATGTTGTTCATGTTGTTGCTTATGTTGTATTTATTGTTTATGTTGTTGTTATTGTACATGTTTTTCTATGTTTTTTATGTTGTTGTTTATGTTGTTGTTCACGTTGTTGTTCATGTTGTTGTTAATGTTGTTGTTTATGTTGTTGTTCATGTTGTTGTTTATGTTGTTGGTTTTTGTGCACTTTTACTATAATTTGAGTAGAAGGGACTCAACACGTGAGAGAGGCGTGTCAAAATGTATACAATTCGTACTACTGTAGTCTCGGAATGTTCTCAAAATTCATCGATATGAAATGTTCTCGAAAAGGTCTCGTCTCGATCACAGCGGAGCGACGCTCTACAATTTAAAGTTTAGCATTTTATTGTACGCCAATAATAAAAAAGGTTTTTCTCAGGTGAAGATTTCTCGTTGGGGAAGAAGTTTACAATTGAAAGCGAATTTGTGAAGGGAGAGGAGAATAGAGAGGTAGAGAAAAAATTCCGCGGCCGGGAATTGAACCCGGGTCTCCTGCGTGACAGGCAGGAATACTCACCACTATACTACCGCGGAGTGAATATTGTATTGCATCTGCGAGGGTGGTTCGATCTTCAGGCCCTCCTTGAGGAAAGGGCGGCGTATGAGGCAGAGAGGAGCGACTCGGATGATGAACTAACAGAAGACGTAATTTGCTGTTGTTGGGGAAAATATGCATATGGTCAACTACATGTGTTGGTGACAATGTGAAAATTGTGAGGAAATCATTGTTGGTTTTTATGCGAATTCGTATATAAACTCCTAAAATTTACTTTGGGAAGTCTCAAGCTCAGCTGAGGAAAGCGAAGATATATTCCTACTCCAATACTGGACTGTTGTGAAGTTTATTATAACGAATCACATTGATTATTATTATCATAGGAAGAGGACATGGACGCTATCGCGGCTACAGCAGCGAATGTGAAAGAACTTGGGAATGCGGCGGTTGACCAATGCGAAGGAGCTCAGCCTTCTAAGTTCATAGGTAGGACATGGTCGGTGAGTAATGGTTAGTGTTAGTGATGGTTGTGTTGTTGTTAAGGTAGAAGAGCACATTGTTGGGTTATGGTACGGAAAGGAGCGCGAGGTGTGGTATGTGATATGTTTATTGAGCCCTCCACGGGGATGGTGTTCTCTACTAAAACAGAACCAAGTAATACTGTGTTGTTATTGTTATTGTTATTGTTATTGTTATTGTTATTAATATTGTTATTTTTATAATGGAGTTTCACATCCCATTTTATGTGAAGTGGCGTCGTAAAACTCGGTGAAAAACGCGATATTATTCGCGGTGATATGCAGTAGTCGTGAAATATGTTTTTTTACTAGTGTTTTTCATATCACGGCCGCCCGTGAAACTCCATTGTTATTTTTATTCAGCATACGAGTCCGAGGGGGAGCCGTTGAAGCCGTGCCCGTGAGTTTTCAGTTGAGGTGATACGGAGTGAAAATCTTCGCTGTGCGCGAATTAGATATCTTTATGTTGATATTGTGTGGAATGATAAGAATATGTGGGTGAGCATGCAGAGGAGTTTTATCGAGGAAGATGTTATGGGGAAGAGAACACCGTTGCGGAAAAAGATGAGTCTAACTGGAGTTAGTATGGACATCGATGATACGAGATTTTTCGAAGTGAGTTTAGTACTCACTAGGGTGGAGGATCGTGCTGTTGGTGGTATGAGCTGCTTTTAGTAGTATACAGGGGCTGTCACTAAAATCGTCCGAATCTGCGCATTTGGTTAAAGTGAATTTTACTTGGAATTGACCTCTGTCGTTGTGCAGATTTGGGGTGGTGCTGGGTGACACGGTGAAATTTTCAAAAAAGAGGTATATCGTATGCTATTGAAATCGTGTTGTTTTTACTAGTATAATTGTAGTTATATGATGAGTATTATGACTACAAGTGTAAGCCTCTGTGAGTACTAGGTTGTATATGGAAAGTACAGTTGTCTCTATAGTGGCATTCTACGTATCACAGAGTAGTTTAGTAATATGTAAAATTGAATAACAACTTTGAGAAAGACTCTACGATTATGAGATATGTTTGCTCTCCTCAGCCAGTGTTGCAACCCTCGAGGAGTGACAGTAGAAGGGCCCAAGAAGAAGTGGAGATGAATGCTAATACAAGTAGGGGAGGTGCGGTATGGGAGTTTAGTCATGGCTTAGTTGCAGTATTGGAATAGGAATATATGTAATCGCTTTCCTCAGCTACTGAGCTCAGGAGTTTCCTATACAGTGTTGGAGTAGGAATATATGTAATCGCTTTCCTCAGCTGCTGAGCTCAGGAGTTTCCTATACAGTGTTGGAGTAGGAATATATGTAATCGCTTTCCTCAGCTACTGAGCTCAGGAGTTTCCTATACAGTGTTGGAGTAGGAATATATGTAATCGCTTTCCTCAGCTGCTGAGCTCAGGAGTTTCCTATACAGTGTTGGAGTAGGAATATATGTAATCGCTTTCCTCAGCTACTGAGCTCAGGAGTTTCCTATACAGTGTTGGAGTAGGAATATATGTAATCGCTTTCCTCAGCTGCTGAGCTCAGGAGTTTCCTATACAGTGTTGGAGTAGGAATATATGTAATCGCTTTCCTCAGCTACTGAGCTCAGGAGTTTCCTATACAGTGTTGGAGTAGGAATATATGTAATCGCTTTCCTCAGCTACTGAGCTCAGGAGTTTCCTATACAGTGTTGGAGTAGGAATATATGTAATCGCTTTCCTCAGCTGAGCTCAGGAGTTTCCTATACAGTGTTGGAGTAGGAATATATGTTCGCTTTCCTCAGCTGAGCTCAGGAGTTTCCTATACAGTGTTGGAGTAGGAATATATGTAATCGCTTTCCTCAGCTACTGAGCTCAGGAGTTTCCAAAGCTAATTATAGAACTAGGGTAGAAGTGTACAGAAAACCAATAAGAATTTTCCCCCAAAATTTTTCTCATAATTTTCATATGTAGTTCCTCTGGAGCACCTCATCGGAGTGTACGACATTTCGAGACCACTCACTGTGGACGATTTGCCACCTAGTTGGACTAGTCCTGCAGTGATAAGAAGAGAACGGTAGTAGAAGTATATTGGAGTTTCACGGGCAGCCCTAGTGATATGAAAAACAGTAGTGAAAAATATATTCCACGAAAACCGCGTTTTTCACCGAGTTTTACGCCACTTCACGTGGAACGGGTGAAACGCTTTTATTATATCAGCGAAAATTCGTCCAAAAATTTGAATTTTAAAATTAAGATTTGTGAGGAATATGTGTTTGATTTCCTCAACTGAGCTCGGGAAAAAATCTACATATAATTTTGGGTAAAAATGCGGAAAAGCATTGAAAATTTTAGGAAATTTCCTGAAATTTTTTCCTTATTTTTACCAATACACCCCTCCACATTCTTAGCATATCCGGTTTTTCGACTCGTGGACAGCCACCACAACGAGTATCATCTTGCGGCTCAGGGAGGTATGTACTTATGCTTTATCTGATATGATCTTCAAGTTTCAGGGTCTAACTCTTCGTAGTTAGTGAGAAGTCGACGGCCGGTGAAACGTTTTCTCCACATATTCTTAGCATACACGTGTTAAAATTTCGCCTCAAAATACCAACTTTTACTCGGGGAGTATATCTATAACTCCGCTACTGATCTAATGCTATACATCAACAGAA